CTTCTTACGTCTGCTTGTCTTATTCTGTACTGTGTGGCTCTCTTTAATTCCTTGATGATACTTCTCACTTCATTTCTTGACACTCAGAAATGCTGTGATAACTTTCTATATCCACCTCTTCCTTTATGAGTGTCAACAATTGTTTTTCTCACGTTCAAACTTTGGTTTTTGGCACAACACTTTCTCTAATCAAAGGTGAAACCTGTATGTCTCACGTTTCACAAGCTTTAAACACTTGAAGTTAAAGCACATCACTACTATAAAAATGTCAGTTTTTCAGGGGGGTTCAAAATATTGACTATGGTCATTTTTCTTTTCTGAAATAATTCTGTTATTGTGTGCAAATAGAAGTAATTTATGCTTTCTAAAGAAAACTACCATGTTTGGAAATGCTATGCTGAAAATCCCTTCCTTTGTTAAACAAGCTCTTGGGATATTCTAAACAAAACCTTTTCACTTCATACCTAATAATTTTGCCCTCATCTTTACTTGGCTCTGGGTTGATTTATACTGCTAACAAGCATATGGCAAGACATATGTATTTATATAATAATTTTTTTTTTTTTTTACATTGTTCATTGTTTTTCAGGTACTGGCACCAACTTCTTCAGATTAAAATGTGACTTTTTTCAATCTAGCCAGCAGAGCTGAGTTATCTTTAGGGCCAAGCTCCATTTGGAAGATTTTCTAACAACAGAATTTACAAAGAGAAAGATATAAAAATATAAGACAGACAGGTGTTTAACAAGAGCCTCTACCCCTGAATCCTGCTCTGTAAAGTGGCTGTTCATTCTGCTCAGTTGACACTGGATAGTTTGTGGGCAGAGCAACTGGATCTGAAATCCACACTGAGGCACATCTCTGGCACCACCTGGTGGCATATGTTGTTCAATTTTAGCTGGCTGAGGAGGTCAAAATGGAAATGTGCATGTTAAGTGTGAATGTGTGAAATGCGTGCGCTGGTCCTGTTCTCATCTGGCGTGAAAACTATGCTTTCACTTTATATTTGTTTATGTTTCGACACCATGAACAAGATTCAGGAGAAAAGCAGAGAGGCCTGCTTTTGTGCTGATGTGCATATAAAAATGTGCAGTCCGCTGTGGTAGCGCAGTACGTGATCGACAACGCTTGCTCTTGTGCCTTTGAGGATTATTGCTTCTTTAGTTCTAATGGGTCAAACTATCAGCCAAGCGGTTGTAGAAAAATTATTCAGACACTTAAAAGGGAATTACTCATTGCCAGTAATTATGCAGAATGGCTGCTTGATTATCATTACTGATCACTGTTACGTTTATTACCAATTAATCCATTCAGCCAGCCATCTTCCCCTGCCCTTTCAGATGCAGTAGACAGTTTAGGAACTTACTTATGAAGGTAAATATGTTGCAGAGTGTGAGGGCTTGGTAATGACTGCCAGTTATCTTTTATTTGTCCATTTAGGTCATTTGTAATTTGGCCCCTTCCACGTTTTCATCAAGATTGGGTATTATTATTTTATATTCGTATTTACTCCTTACCTTGCACGTACAGTGCATGGTAACTAGCTGTACGCTGTGTGTGTGTGTGTGTTTTGGGGGGGGCTCAGGCACTATTTCCAGCACTGTGATAATGAATTCCTCCAGCAGAGCGTAGTACATCACAGCTCCCTGCTTCACTATCTCCCACTGAGCTGCAGACACAAGCTGCAGAGGAGGGACGATAAGAAGCACGGAACAGGGAGGCAGGGAGCCGAGCAGCACAAATGGAAACAGCAGAAGGATTTTGGATACTTGCAAACGGGAGAAACTCACTGTAGTGCTGCATCACCTCGCACAACTTAGGCATTTATTGATGCTTAGTTGGGTGTTGAACGCTTACTTTTAATATCTCGCTCACTGCGCTGTAGTGGACAAAATTGAATTAACAAAACCTGATTTAGCGATGAAGATGGCTGCTTGCTAATAACGTCGTAGCTATGGCAAAACTGGAATATGGAAGCCGGTGGTCAGAAGCACATCGCTTCTCCTTTGGAAGTAACTCTGCGCACTGCGTCTTGGCGCACAAACGTGCACGCGAGAGGGTTAAATCATCATATTTCCCCCAATTACAGACAGTGTTCGTGATATTTTAACATTTGGAGTCCATAAATGTCGCTGCACAGTGTAAATGTTTGGTGACGAAACTGAATATTTTTTGTGCTTTGAATTTAGAGTTGGCAAAATGCCAACGGACCCCACTAGATGGCGGCATTGCAAAGACTATTGCATGGAAAAAGCTGGGCAGCTCTGCAGTGGATGCCTCCTACTGCAATGATTTCATTTTAGGTTCTTCTGTTTTTGTTTTCTAGCAGATTGCAGTGTCAACACAGTGCAGAATGTAACACCTGCATGTACTTTTCTAAAGTCTTTTTTACTGTGAGTAATACTCATATTTAAGCAATTACCCAGCTGCTTTTGTTAAGTTTATGCAAGTGAGTAAATTATATTTAACTTCACCTACCACATGTAGCATATCCTGGCAGCACCTTTCATTCAAAACTTATCAGTTTAATTAACAATAAAGAAAGATTATGGAGACATAAACAAGACAAGAAGGGAAATGAAATATGACAGAAATAAGAAGTGAGCAGCTTTTTATTTTCAGTTTACTAGAGGGTAGTTACAGGCATGTTATCACAATCCCTGACACTTAGTGACCATTTCTATGAACACTTCTGTCGGCTTAAGTGGCTGAGCTGGTTAGTATCTGCACAATTATTACAAAAACAAACAAAATAACAAGTGCTCGTGTTTTAAATAAATTAACATTGTTTCACACGTGTTGCTGTCTGTGGATTTTTACATAATCATGTCACATTACTCTGTTGCCTGCGATAAAAAAGATATGGCTTAATTCAGAAGGTGGAGCCAGGAACTTCATAAAAGAGTTGAGATTCGGTTCCATAAAATCCTTCACATTTTCCCCGTGGCAAATTAAAAAAAATGTGCAAAAGGCAAAGCGCTGCACTTTTATCATCTTATCTTCTAGATTGTGTCAAGGAAATGTGGTGCTGTCTTACTATGAGTGAGCGAGGCAGATAATAATGCAGTGAGAGAATGACAGATGGGAAGAGACAGAGAGATACGCAGAGAATGGGAACAGCAGATTTGTAGTGACAGGCTGCTCAGTCGGAAGTTGTAAGATTGTTTAGCCTAAAATCTGCAAAGCAGCCATGGAAACCAGTTTGAACCAGAATCCAAAATATGAAATAAACAGAGTCACAAAACTCTGTCTTGAGGAAAAAAAACAGCAAAAAAGGTTGTACTTACAAGGTGACTCCCAAAGACATATTAGCTGAAAACTTGCGATAGCTCAGCATGTGTGGTGTGCAGTGTGTCTTTAAATTATTATTATTATTTTTTTCAAATTGGCAAAAACTGGACACGTGGAGGACAAAAGAAGAATTGGAAGGCCTGAAAACTATCTATAGCAGATGAACAGTATCAAAAAGTCATATCGTAAGAAACAGGAATAAATCCAGCAAATACCTGGCACAGGATCTGAGAGATACATCTGGACCTTCAGTTGATCCATCTACTGTTCACTGAAGCTGCTCAGAAATGATCTCAGGGAAAGGATCGCTGTCAAGAAACCATTCTTGAGAAAGGGAAACAGGGAGAAAAGGCCATGCTATGCCAAATTACACAAGATCTAGGTTGAAAATTAGTGTTTGGCTGCCACTGTACCATTTTTTGAGGGTTGCTAGCATTAAATTCAAGATGAGCTCACATTCTTCCCAAAAACGTTGATATTTTTCACTTTAAACATCTGATATGTTGGTTTTGTACCTTGCATTGTCAGTTATAAATAGTGTTTGAATGATTTGCAAAGCATTGCATTCTGATGTTGTTTACATTTTACACAGCCTCACAAGTTTTTTGGGGAAAAAAGCAGATAACTAATATTTACTGAAACTCCTTGGCAAACAGTGCTGTGAGCCAGCATTTCTATCAGAAGGAGCATGAGTCGGAATAGACTGGCAGACACTTCTCAGCAGCTGTACCTGAGCTTATTCTGACAGTTGAAGTTTATTGTGAGAGTTTGTGACAAGTGTCAGGTATGTTGTCATCAACATGAAAGTCTTTTTCTTTTAAGAGTCACAGTCATCTTGGAGATTTATGCTGAAATGCATGGAACACTGTGTTAGTGTCCTATGGCAGCTGGGATAGGCTTCTGCTCCTCGTGACCCTGAACTGGATAAGCGGTTGAATGGATGGATGGAAGCCAAATAAAAAAATAAAAAAAAGAATTAAAACCCTATGGTTGTGGTTCAGTTAAAGTAATGAACAGTAAGCAACGTGGTGTGTCATTTTTATTGAATGTCACTGCGAACACTAGTGGGGTTATGCAAGAACAAGTCCCAATAAGCTGAATATAACTATGGAGCCAATGCATACCCAAGATCCATAACTAGAGTTGTCATAGACAGTGACCAGTGAAATGAAACAAGTGAAAGAAATCAAACATTTAAACAACAAAAACTCATGAAAGATAGCAAAAAGAGAACATTTTACCCCGTCACAAAAGGCATGAACTGTGGTCAGCTGATTAAAAGTGAGTCATGTGAAGCCCTGACCAACACTGCGTCACACAGTAGTTACATAACAACACTGACACACGTTATTATTCTTTCCTTGCAGCCGACATATAGCCTGCCTTTGATTTGTTTCTTGTAAGACAAAAGCTGAGGATGAATTACACAGGCTAGCATGCATGAGTCTTGGCACACATCACTATTGATTTAAGCGCATTTTGTGTTCCTCTATCAGAATTATTTGGCTGGGCGGCAGCAAACAGAGTGAATGCTGTTATCAGGCCGGCACAGGAAGAAAGCAACGCAGGTTTCTTGAGTTTATCAGGGCTGTTGCTCCTCGTTCTATAGCGAGCACGCATGTACTGTACAGAGTCACACTTTGGTGCAATGTTATCTTCCTTGCATAGTAAGGGAGATAATTTTGTCCCTGTTATCTGCTAAACCCTGACTCTTTGTTGCAAAATGTTTTGTATATTAAAAAAGAAAAACTCTGCTTCACGGGGTCCTAAAGTTTAACACATATCAGTGCAAACAAACTTTGCACCAAAGAGAGGCAACTAAGAGCAACTACTGCATTGCACCGTGGTGTGAGTAAATCTGCGTGACTCTGTCCCTCATTTCAGAGAGCGCTTTGATGTCAGTGGAATAAGCTGCAGCTCATTGAAGGAACATCAAAGATACCCCCCACCCCACCCCAGCTTCACAACCATGCGCTGCTTTGAAACATGTTTGGAAATGCCGTGGGGTTCCCGTTATCTTTTTCACAATTAAAGGCTTATTAACCGCCTGTTAATACTATCAATTATTCCAGAATGTGAACAGTAACTTTGGGGATCAAGGGCGTAGCTATTTGGAATTTGTGATTTGAAGAAAGGGCATCATAATGCCTCTTTTCTTCAGGTTGAGCCCTCTCATTCTGCTTTCAGATCACTGATTAAACTCCCTTTGTTTGTTTCTTTAATTTGACCTCTCAGCACTTGTCTGGTGTCATGCCCGCATTAGATTGGTGTTGGGGTTTTTTCTACAGTCATCTTTGCTGCCCTTCAGCAAGTGTGCACATAGGTGTGATGGAAGCAGCCTTAAAGTGCTTAATTTGCATGGTTTGTTACGTTCCATTGTTTCACTATGTATTTTGTATCGGAAGCTCTCTAAGCTGAATGATGTCAGCATGCCTTTTAAGCTATTACATCTGATGACATCATCTACTGTGTGTATATATATTGTTGTGTTTTACAAAGTTCTCCATAGCTGCGGGATGCACTGACTATGGGAATCAGTAGCATTGTTATAATTTGAATCACTGTGTCTAACATTCACTCACCCGTCTAAGTGTTTGGACCCATTACTATTCCAGTCATCTCAGTTTGTGAAGTAATTCTAATAATATTTTGATTAAATATGTTTGAGATCTTCTCAGTATAAAATCAATATGCCCATCTCACCCAAACACACAGCACAACAAATTGTTTTATACTTAATATGCTTAGATGTGTTACTTAGTTTGTGTTGTGGTTTTTGCGGCTGCTTCAAATGGCACTGTCATATTAGGCAGCTTAATAATAGAAGAAATAGTTAACTGTGATCTTGTGGATGGAGGAGCAACTTTTCCTGCGTCCAGGCTGGCCTATTAGAAGCGCGTACCTAGCAGCCAATCACAGGCACTCACTCCTCAGCTCCTCTAATCGTGGATTAGCCACAACCGACTGCAGTCTACAGCTCTGGGAGTGAAAGGTAGTCACTGCCATTCAGCCTCGGTTTTATTATTAGCTCTCTTGGATTTGGCAGCAGATTTTTTTTCCCCTCTCTCTTTCTCTCTCTCTCTCAGCAGCAGCGACTTCTGCGTTGCGCAACCAAGTAGGCTGCACATTTTGGGATCTCAGGTAAAGGTGTGGGATTACCGAAGAGACAAGCGACCAAATACTTAGAAGCTGCTATAGTAGGTCAGGTAGGACTCGATCCATGGCCCTTTAATTTAAACCCACAACGTAGTAACGCCGCTCCGTTTAAAGCACCGCTCCGTTTTCGCTTCCCGATGTTCAAGACGGCCAATTACCCGAGCGTGGATCCTGCGCCCACCATCATGCACGGCACTTGGTTTACCACGGGATGCCGAGAAAACACGCCCGTGGCGGTGGAGAAACCTAAGAAAAAGGCGTTCAGCTTGGTCAAAATAATGTCTCTGAACAACAAGAAGGGGCACGGCCAGCATCCGCACAATAACAACAACAACACCATGCCTTTTACGATCCACTGTCATTTCGGGAAAGAGATAAAGCACATTTGCAGCAATTGCAGCCGCGGAAACGACACACAGGACGGTGAGTAGGCTCAAACCTTGTGTGGTTTCGCCCATAGTAGGTTTGCGGTAGCTGTTACCATCCAGGATGCACACATCTGAAGATGGCTACGTTGCTTCTGTTTTTTGTTTTGTTTGGGTTTTTTTTTTTAATATGCGATTTGATAAGCAGGCTGTGTGAGGATACAGTTGAGGATATAGTGTTTTTTCCCCTCGAGGGATAGATTATATTATTTTAGTGTCGATGTGCATTGAAATGACACCACTCTCCTGAAGGAGAGTGAATCACTGTTGCTGCTGTGGAAACTGCCTCTGACTGGATCAGAACTTCTTACAGGGTTGGGCTGCTCATATTTTGAACTGTTAATTGTCGTTTGACCGCAAAAATACGCTGCGTCTTTTGTTTTTTTTATTGTCATTAGATCTCAGTATTAACCTCTAGCATGAAGCTGTGCAGGCTGTTTGCACAAAGCCTATTTTCCCCCCCACTTAGGTGTCATTACATCATCACTCAGCCATCTTGGCATGCAAAAAAGTGTTGTTAATTAAAACCAGCAGCATCAGTTGCTCATGTTACAGTGGTGGAGAATGTAGGTTATAAGGATTCTGCCGTGCAATCAGACTGATGTCAAGAAGAGGAAGAAAAGGGGAAAATCCAATGAATTTGGACACTTGGAAGAGGATTTCCTTATTTTTTTCTTGTGCAGATTTTAGGATTTTCTCACAATTACAATTGCATCATCACACATTTACAGTGTAGACTTTGATTCTATGTGTACTGGTTTTAAATAGTTCAGCACAACAACATAAAAAAAAGAAATAAATCTGGTAGTAAACACTGTATTTTGGGATAAGAGGGCTTTTGAGTGCACACTGAGATACCTACACCTGTGGGGAGATAGTATCCAGAGGTTTCATCTTCACAGGAAGGCCCAACTGCTTTACTGCAGTTTCTATTGTGTGCATTTAAAAAATAATTAGAATTTTAAAAAAAGTATATATAAATATATATTTTCAAACCCATACTCCTTTTTGAGTTAAGGTTGTGGTACTTAACACTAAGTAGTGTTTAATGTTATGAAGCAATGCCCTAAGCACTGAAGTTGCTAACAGTGAGTCATTACTGCCACTCTCTCTGTCATACAGTACAGCAGCTTGTTACTTGGCTCCTGGATGTGGCTCAACTTAGAGCTCGTTGTCTTCCTGTCTCTATCTGGCCTTTAGGCTGCTAACGAAACCATTTGAATCTCTCCTGGATTCAATTAACACTGACTGCTGGGTTATTTATAGAGTGCTGTGGTGGAAGGATTTCCAAGGATGCTGCAGAGCATTCAAATAATGGTCCGTGGGACTGATTTCAGCACTGCATTATCGCCACATTTATTTACTGTCTCATTGCCCCAGGGAGGCGGCTGTCCTGTTAAGCGGCATGTCTGTGTTGGCAAACATTGCAAAAGTGATGCAATTATTAAAAGAATAAACAAACAAACAAACACCCTCAGATTCCCTGACTGCATGTCATGGGTGATGATCTGATGCAACCGGGTGACATTGACAACAGACGTGACACGATGTGCTAGAGGGTCACCTCGTGCGTCCAGGCTCTGGACTTTTAACACTGCTGATTTTAGGGGGTTTCTTTGGCGGTTTTTGAGTTTTTCTGTTTGCTTCTGCTGCATGCTCATAAGATACTTTAAAGGTGATTTGTGTCATCTTTTTAATAGCTTCCAAGAGTTTTGAGAGAATTCTAAGACATTCCCAAGCGATGCTGTTCATTCTAATAAAAAAAAATGTCTGTTTATTGTTTGTCTTAATCGCTCTCGCTGCAAGATTGTGCAGTTTCTGTATGGGTGCATGTGCAAACTGATTTGAAAAGTCTGCACATTTATCATTCAGTAATGATGTATTTTGGCAATTATAAATGCAGAGATGATTAATTTAAACAACCGAGGCGAGCTGATCTCGAAAGTATGGAAAGTAATGGAACTCACTGGCTGCTTAGTAGAAAAAAATGCAGTTTAAAAAACATGCATTGTCCTGACTAATCGGCTGTTCTTGCACGCAGTTGCATTTGTGATATTTTGCTATTCTGATGAAATGTTTTTTTGACTACATAAAAGACTAAGTTTAAAGATTAGGTTTTAAAGTAAGGAGAAGAGAGAAGAGCTTTTTGGCATTGCGTAATTCTTTTTTCTTTTCTTTTTTTTTTTTAAATCTCACAAGCTGCCAAGTAGGTTTAAGTCAGATTTTCAGCTCGAGTCCCCTTAGTTATTAATCATCCGCCTTTTGTATTCTTATCCAGCAGCCAGCTTTCCTCTTGGTGTTACATTTTAAGTGCTGTTTGTAGCCGTTTGCATTCGCAGTTATTTCTTCATGTAATATTTTGTGTTTGAGCAAATTACTTAACATTCTTTGCTTCTGAAGTCAAACAGTACTTAAAAGATTATAGGGCCGGGCCTCGTGAATATTTGATGAAGAGCTGAAATATTCCCCCTTAATGAGGGTGCTCATCAGTCAGTCTACAGCCTAGAACTGTTTAGACCCAGAGCAAATCCTGCATAATGCCATATGATGTGCAGGTTTGTTTATGCTCTTATTCAGCCTCATCTAGTTAGTGCTGAATTCTGGAGGCTGCTTGGCACAGATTATTTCTGCTTGGATATTAAAAAACAAAAGTGTTTGCTGCCTTTAGTTATCATCCAGACTATCCATCACCTCCTCTGGATCCTCACCTAAACTAAATCTGTTTTGTTTTGTTTTCTCTCCCCCTTACAGCGGAGGAAGTAGAGAGGCTTGCCGCCATGCGCTCGGAGTCCTTGGTCTCTGGTACCCACACTCCACCCATCCGTCGGCGGAGCAAGTTTGCAACTCTGGGGCGGCTCCTCAAGCCCTGGAAATGGAGAAAGAAGAAGAGCGAGAAGTTCAAGCAGACATCAGCTGGTACGTGACATCTTTTCATAATTTATCCGCATAATAGTGACACGAGTATAATAACTCCAATACTTGTAAAGACTGTACCCTGTGTGGTTTCAGTTTTGTTTTTTTTTGTTTTTTTTTTTGGCGGGGGGAATCAATGCACATCCTTTGGTCAAAAGAAAAATTGATTACGTTTTTCAGTCTCCAGGGTGAGTCACAATGCAGCAAATTGATTCAGTGTAGCGCTGGAGTTTCATGTTTTGAGGTCTCTTTAGAGTTGCTTTGATCTTTCAGCCCAGTGCTGTCAGGGTCGAGTGAAGGACGTGGTCTCTTCAGATCCGGCTGTATTTATTTTCCTCGACTGACACATCCTGAATTTTTCTGTCAGCCTCTTGGAAAGGAGGAGGCACTTTGTCAGACTGTAGCTCCCAGGCTCGAAGAAGCGTCCCTGCTTTTATGGACGGGAGCTAAATCCAGTGTGAACAGAACAGGATGTTCTCATTTAGTAACATTATTCAATTAACATTTTCTGGTGTGAGTTTGCTGAATGATTCAGTATCTGTTGGGTTTGCTCATGGTTTCTTTGGCTGCTGTTTGAGTCTTGACCGTTTTAATTTTTGCGACCTCTTTTCGTCAGCTCCATCATTTGTCAGAAGTACAAGATGTGTGCTTGACTTTTTTTTTTTTTTTTAAACTGTAGCTGCCTTTGAGTTGTTTAATACTTAAAAAAAAACTGCATTTTTGAAGTGTGTACTTGATAACACAGCCACAGAGATTCTGTCTGTTCACTGGTACAGTCATGTCAGCCCTGTGATAATAGCATCTCTCTTGTTGTGGTTAAGGACAGTAATCAAAAGCTGAGCCAACAAAAGATAATTTCTGTTTCAATGGTGGTAATGCTGAGTGGAGCTGAGAGAAATGACGCTTTTCATTGCTTTTGTTATCCACTTGTTTTGTGTGCATAATGCTTCTGTCCCCAAATAATGCTGTTGCTACTATTGTTCTATTCAATCCTTTTTGATGGGCATTTTTGAGCTGCCATACCACTGATGATCACCTTGTTAAGTTACAGGTGGTACGCAGTCTCACAAGAGACTTCGATGCTCAGGCAGGCACATTGGCCTCAGAGAGACCACAGCTCTGTCTCATCCATTTTTAGCGTGAACCTAACTCTGAAAGTTCCAAATAAGTGGAATGTGGCCTGAACTTCTGCAACTGGCAGTGGTAGAATTGAAGCCACAAGCGTGCGATTGTGCAATAAATTGAAATGACAGGAGCTGGCAGAAGGATTTTTAACTGTAGCAAGAGAGCGTCTAAGAAAACTCACAGGGTCACGTCCTTATTATTGAAATGCACATTTGGTTTTTATTAAGATAATTACAAGTGTTTCCAGGTTAACATTAATGAAAATAATTATACACCATGAATCATTGAAGAGTTTTAATGACAATAACAATGTGTTCCAGTGGCACATCGTGGTGCAAGTTTGCACCAGGTGTTCACAAAACATCAATCTTATGGTCAGAGAATGATTAATAAGTCATTAGACGTATTTTAGAGAAGGCCCAATGGCTGGTATTTTGTCTTAGTATAGTCACTAGATGAGAAATTCTGCTAAGCTTGAGGAAAGTAGGTTAACTGTATGGTGCAGAGGAATCCTGTGATTACTGAAAATGGATTATTGCTTCATTGAGAAATAAAAAAATATCCATCCAAGAAAAAAGTTTTATTTAGAAAAGGTAACATTTTCTTGGTGAACCCTTAAAGCGCTTCACATACAACATGACAACAACATCACTCTGTTCTGTATTATTTCCTATGGCTCGCTGCACACAAATGTTTTTCTCGTGGCCAGCCATGTATTGAACTTCAGCCATGACTGTGAAGTACAGTTATGTGAGGAAAATGAAAAATAAATAGTTTTTATAAGCCTTTATGCAGTCGTATGAAAAGTTAGTGCTTCTTTTTAAATAGTTTGCTCTTTTCAGACCGATTCCGAGAAAGACTCTGTGCAGTATAACCATTAGCAAGTTTGTGTTTAAAGGAATAATTTTTCACCTTATCAAGGAAACTGTGTTGTGTACTTGCCCTCATTTTATTACTGACCTGTTGTCAGCAGGTATAAGAACACTGCTGCCACATGCTACTACCAGCTATTGACTTGTTTTAGTACACCATCATTAATAGCTGAAAACAGCATTTTGTCTGCAAGAGTATTAGAGTATTTGTCTGTTGCTTAAGCAATCAGCAAAAATGTGCAGTGGTTATAGTTGCATTGCTATGATCTTGGCCTTAGATGGTCCTTGTTTGTCTTTTGTGTCTGAAGTAGTCTGTGCTTACCTTATTGTTGATTACAACTCCTGTATCAATAGGGAGTAGACCAGCCACTGGGCAGGAAGATGTTGTCATGGATAATTGGACACTGGGCACAGTAGAGGATTATTAATGTGTTGTGATCTTAAGCAGATGAAGGCCAGCTCTGGGAGGCTGCACTCTTTACCTCAGGAAGGAATGAGGGAGGAGAAGCATCTGACAGCTGGATGTCTTATCATGCTGTCTTATTGTGCTTGGTAAATTTTTACAGCCAGCTTGTATCAGGAAGAGATTTTAGCGAGAAGAGATTTATCAAAAGAACATGCATGCTGTAGTCTGATGTTATCAGGGAGTCTATTTTTAATCTAATTAGCACATTTCCCTATGAACAGCAGTCATCCAATTGCACTACTCATGCTGGATGTTCACATGATTTTTAACAAAAAGGACATATTTCATACGTGTCCATTGTACACTGTATGAAGGGAGAAGTTGATTGCCTATTGCATGCCTGCTGTGTCCTTTATAGGTGTTAAAGTGTATTTTAGCCACACTCAAGCTTCTGAGGTCTGAGGTTTAACGCTTGAGTTCCTCATTGATAGAAGACACCATCAAAGTTTTATTCCAGTTTTTTGTGAGAGTCAGACTGAGAGAAACGCCTCAGTAAAAGACTCCACTTTAAGCTACTGTGCCTCAGGGTTTGTAGGATGTGTTCTGACTATCTGGGTCACTACGCAGTGGAATTTACTTTTTTTTTTTTTCTCTTTTCTTTTTTTTTCTAAAAAACTAAATGTAGTGTTCTCAGATCAGTAGAGGCTGAACTTAGATATGCCAGTTTCATTTAATATGCTCTCAGCTGAGTCTCCCCAATGAGTGTCTAATCTTCTCATCTTGGTACAGATTGAGTGGTTGGAGTGTTGGGCCATGATAACACTTTGGGCTATGGTAGACTTTTAAAATAGAACTTGGTTGATATTCAAGGTGATTTTGAAGGCTACTGCAGATTCTAATATACTGATATGGAGGTTTGCTTTGTACCCTTTGGTAGTGATAAGAGTGCATCCTGTTTGATGCTTTTAACTTGAGTACCTCAGCTGCACACTAAACTTATATAATAAACATTGTTACAAACTGACAAGTGATGACAACTACTCTGGTGTCCAAGTCAATAGCACTCTGTATCAAAGTCAGGTATTTTGAGGGAGTGGCATTTTTTCCCACTAAACAGACACTAAACACGCACACACACAATTGTGTGTGTGTGTGTGTCCCCTAGGACCTTCCTGATGAAATGAACATGAAATCCACTTCTTGCACACTAATAATGTGCTGATTAAATATTAAACAGAGTGGGGGCTTTTAGGGGGGTTTGCAAGGATGGCCAGAGTTTCATCTCCTTACTTCATGCTCGGCACACGTTCTGCACGTGTCCACTTTAATTTTACCAGCTTCCACTTTTGTTTCGCAAACATTCGCCGCCTGTCAAGTCTGAAGACATAATATCCTCATTAAGGCTTTTGAGTTAATGGTATTGCATAACTGTGTGCATCCCGCAGAAGAGCTCTTATGTCATAAAGCTCTGAGTAATTGCTGTTCGTTTTGGATGAAACAACTGGCGTAGTAATGACCTTTAACCCCAGGTTTCCCCACTCTGGCAACAAATTGGTGCTGTACTTCTTTAGAAGGGTTAGGGTTAGAGTTTCATTTGAATGTTTGCTCTGTTAAACAAAAGACTAAAGAATAATGGACTCGTGATGGGGATTTCAAAGTCTAAGTTAAACTGCAATGCAAGAGTTTTGAAAGTTTTAAGGAGAAAGCTTTTAGAGGCTGCATTGTAAAACCTATTATCTTTTATTATTAGATCTGGCAGAGGCAAATGTCTGGCAAAGATATTAACTTTCCAAGATATATATATATATTTTTTTTTAATCCAATTACTTCACAGTACAGTTGTTACCACTAACCTAAAGTTGGTTGTGGGAGTTTTATGGAAATTGCTTGGTAATGTGCAAATATTTTATTTTCGATTAAATTTGTTAGCCACATGTTACTCAACAGCTAGAGATGATTGTAGAAACCTCAAAATACGGATGTTTTTAAATTAAGGAAAGGTTAAGAATGACTACATCTGTTACATATTTGATCATTGTCAGTGCCACACATGATGTGCTGTGCTGTCCTGTCACCAGTGTGCAGCCCCAAGCAAGCCTTAAACACATACTAGTGGGCTGAAAGAACAGGAGATACGCTTGAAAACGTAACCAAGTATTGATGTTCTTGGCCTCAACATTAGAGCAAGAGATGGCATCAACCAACGTCACCCCCCAAATAGCTCAGACCACCATCCTGCTGCTTTTTTCCTTAATCTGAGAATGGAAGAAACAGTGGACCATCACCTCCTGACTCATGGTTAATGTACTGCCTATGTGAGCCTAAACCAGGGACTCACATTCCCATCCAAAATCCAATTAACAACCTGTGGCCACATCCACTCTTCTGTTCCAAGTCCTGCATTCATTGTTGAGCTGACATTCCCACGTGGCGAGGCTATGGACTAAGCATATGAAAGGATAAAAACTGCAATATGCCAACTTGGCAGCTGAAGTAAAGGAGTGTGGCATATTGGGGAATATTCGGTCATGTATGCTCGCTCCCCAAAAAATATGTTTAACTTTTTAACTAATTCCTTGCTCAGGGCTGATCAAAAAGCTTTGGAAAGCTTTTGAAGTAAGCATTGATGATGAACACCTGGTACCATAGAGAAACTCATAAAGAAGCGTAGTGATTTTGACTTATTTTGAGCAGTGGGTTTAAAGTGTAATGTGCTGTGAACGATGTGCAAGGAATAGAGAGGTCAAGATGCCAGTGTATTTTTGTCCAATGTGCTCTGAATATGTAGTAGCACTGAACATTTTTGATTTCAGAAGTCAGGGCTTCTGATATGTCAAGCACTCATACTGGGCACAGGGTGTACGAGTCTCCTGTGCAGCGTGCTCAACTGTTGTTATTGCTCATCCTCATTTCACGTTCTTAATTAGCTTCTGTGCAAGATTAGATTTTAAAATGAGTAACAACTTCTCTTTTTTTTTCTTTTTTTTTTTTTAGTATTTTACTGCTTTTGTTCAGCCTACTGATAGAAGATCTTAAGTGCCTCAACTCGCAAAGCCTAAAAATAGAAGGAAACAGTAGCTATGGGACATGGCATCTTTTGCATAATGAATTACGATGAGAAGCATTGCTGGAATATCTTTTTTATCCTTTATCTGTGTTAAACAGGGAACAGTTTCTAATTGTTCTAACTGTTCAGCAGAGACGACTGATTATCTTTACAGCAAAATCTAAATAAGCCAGACGAAATGTATATGGTGAAACTGGGATTAATTATGGGATTATCACAGTGACCGAATGCAGATAGTGACTGATATCCATTTCACACAAAAAGAAAACCTGTTTTGTTTTGGTTTTTGGCTGGACCAGATGTTTGATTGGTCATTTTTTTTCTTTTTCTGATTGCTGAACACTTTGAGTAAAGGAAACAAATAAGCAAGTAAATAAATATTTCTTTGACTTGTGATGCAAACGAGAAGCTTTCGTTAGCATATTGCTAGTAATTTTGATGTTTGTTACTTATTTATTACATTTCTAGGCATTTGGAAATGTTACATCAAAAGTGGTTGATGTGAATGCGTCTTTAAAAAAAAAATGTTGTGAAACACATGACCACATCCATGTTGTGAATTGTTTAGCCTGGGTTAAACAAAGAAATAACGGTCATAGTTTTTTGAATGACAAGGTACAGTGTTAAAACCTCTTTATCACACTCCTTTTCTTTACAACATCAGCTTTGGAGAGGAAGATGTCAATGCGACAGAGCAGAGATGAGCTTATCAAGAGAGGAGTGCTGAAGGAGATCTTTGAAAAAGGTGAGCTGATTTTCTGCAGTTTCTCTCTGATTTAACAGATGGAAACTGTTTCAGATTTAAGTAGAAATTACAAGAAGGGTAACGGTGGCGTACCAAACTGAAAGGTCCTCAGTTATTCATCTCCTTGTTAATCAGTAGCCTTTGGTGTGCACTCTTCAAGATTTGGCACAGAGCTTCAAGAGATAGAATCTTTCATTATAGAAAATTTGTGGCTTTAAAAAAAAAACCCCGTTTGATCTGGATTTGATGTGCTTTACACAACCTAAAGATATATTTTATTATGTTTGAGTCGCACAACAGGGGGCTCGATGCCGCAGGATATCAAAAACAAAGTCAGAGAAGCTCGGCTGACTCTTGCCAAGATGTGAGGAGAGCAGATAAGAAAGAAATGATAGCCTGTATATAAAAGATAGACACAGCTTCTGGACCTTAAAGGTGAAGCCAAAGCATTGAAACTTTTTTCTTTTTAATGGCCCAATTTTTTTTTTCTGAGGAAAAAAAAAAAAGAATTGTACACAAGAGTGTGGGAAAACAGCGCTACTGATCACTTGATCTGTGAGTGTAGTAAACAGGATTTGACAAGTTCAAGATCATAATTGCTAGTTTCATGTGTTATTGAATACAACATGATATTCATTACACTGAATACAACATGATATTCAAAACACATGGTAGGCCTCAGGTTTACCACTTCTCAAACCCAGTTTAAAAATATAAAGATGGCAATCATGAGAGGGCTTAATTAGGATGGGACTTGATCAACCAATGACTGATGTCATAATAGCTACGTCCATCTTTTATATACAGTTTATGGAAGATTTTGGCTTTCATTATTTTTTGAAAAACTGAGTTTAATAGCTAAATGTGAAAACACTGTATGCTGTGACAGTGAATGAGTACACATTGCAGAAACTCAACAGCTCATGGAAAAGCAAGAAAGACAAGACAGGTGAAGCTACTAAGCAGTGGTGACTAAAACAACCACTCATTACAGCCAAGGTATGCAGAAAAGCATCTCCAAACATGGAACAAGTTAAATGGTTCAGTATCTCCCATCACAGTGTTGAAAGCTACTGTATTGTATCATAGATCCTTCCTAAAGCACCGGCCTCAAAATGAAAGCCTAGAAATGATCCCTGAATAAAGAGCTTGAAAAACTACAACAAATTATTAGTTTGTTATCTTTAGTTAATAATAAAAAATAACAAGTCTCCTTGAGGAATTTTTTGAATGTTAAAAAGATTAGAGGAGTGAAACGTTGTTGTGATTTTCTATTTAAAAAACAAAGTCCATAGCTAAGATGGAATTTGGGAATATGGGAGGCATGCTGTATAAATGCACTGGCAGTCAGAAAATATGTGAGCAGCACTGTGACTTGCACTGTCAGCCTTTAAGTGTGATCATGCAAAAGAAAAAAACATCAAATGGATGAGAACTATAAAAGAATTAAAATTCAAAAGTTCTGTCAAACTGCTTGTCTGCTGCTGTTCCACGGTCTGGTGTGTGCTGATAAAAAAGCTCTCGGGTTTGTAAACAGTCCAAGCCCCCAGTGTCTCAAAAACACATCAAGTTCATTTTAAACTTAGTTTATGCAGTCTTTTTAGAAAGTGTCTTTCTTGTGTAGTCAAATGCATTTTTGACTGTTTGCAGATTGATAGTTTTTTCCTTGTTTTAGCAACCGTTGAATTCCGATCCTCAATGGATGGCAGCGTCTGCACTCAGGAGCCCTCTATGAAATCGTCGATGGTCTTGCCCACTAAGAAATCTGTTGGCTATCCAGGTGACCATCAGGACAACCCTGCCAAACCACCGCTTTACCATAAACAGCCTCCTGCTCTCCCCCCAAAGCCTTTCTCTAGGATCCCAAACCACAGCACAGGTCAGTTGTCCTAGATTATGGTCCGTTCCATGCCTGTGCAGCTTTAATCACTCCAGGCAATATGTTTTTTTTCTAGAACTTTTCTTTAATCCAAGCAGAATAAATACAACATAATATACACTTGATTTAATATTTTTCCTTAAAGTGTACATTGTTGGATGTTGCTTCATTAGCTTTAACTGTCAAAAAATGATTAATTTTAAAAGTAAATAGCAGGTACTTGTGTTGATAACTGCTTTGGCTTTAAACTGTACCTGTACAGCCACACATGCTCATAGGATTATACCAGTCTCATTAAATCCCTCTCTGGTTGGGTCAGCTGGCTTTATCTGTCATTGTCAATCTGTCAGGAGAGAGAAGTGGCATTACTCTGGTGTAATTCCCCCACTCTGGGCTGATGTTTGAGCCGTTTCCACTCATCTGTGTTCTTTGTTTATCTATCTGCACCATAAACTGCAATAGCTATGCCATGCATGACATTCATATAATAAGTCCAATGAATCTTCTTTTTGTCCTTTTTTTAATTTTTTAACAATTCCCTAGATTCTTGCCAGCCAATGAAGTTGCCCTGTATGCCTGGGGGAAAGCACTCTCCACCTCTGCCACCCAAGAAAGTGATGATTTGCGTGCCTCCAGGGGGGCTGGACTCCTCCTCATCCTCCCCTTCTCCATCCCCCAACCCCCTCAACACTCTCCCACAAAAGTCTGCCCCTCCCCAGGGCATGCCTTCCCTACATGGCACCTTACTGCCCTCCCAGCTTGTCGGTCTAGCCGGTCTACACCAGAGCCACGGTCACCCGCTCCAGCTTCAGTACGGCAGCTTACACGCCCCCAGTCGGATCATCGAGGAGCTCAATAAAACCCTGGCACTCTCCATGCAGAGGTTTGAAAGGTTAGTAGCTCTCAGTTCTGGTCATTAAATCTGATTGTGGGAAGGCAGGGAAGGATTATGGCTCAGTTTCTGTCTGTAAATCACATGTAATATCTTAAGTAAACTTAAACAATGCTGCATGTGTATGTTTAAAAATGACACAGATGGATCTTATGTAACAGAACTACACTCATCAGTCACAACACGGGGAGGGCCACGATAGGCAGCAGGAGAACATTAAATTACAGAAAACATAGAAAGAAAATGGACAAATGTAATAAACTGATCAAATTGTGATGCTGACCAAGACGATATATTCAACATGTTGAATATATCTGGGACTCTCCACCATTTGGTCTAGAACTGAAGAAGCTTTTTGGATGAGAGGTGAAACATCTTCAAAAAACTTGAAGGAGTCCAGTCATTTTTCTTTCCAAGTTAGTGTACCATGACCTGGATGACTGAGAACCTTCACATGCATGAATATACCACCAAAACCTTCCCGGGGAGCAAAACAGAAAGGCTGCCTGGTCTGATGAGTCACATTTTCTTTTACATCATGTTGACACCTGGGTGTGTGAGAATTGGTTATCCGTAGAAGACATGAGTGCAAGATGCACTGTGGGAAGAAGATGAGGTGATTCTCAGGGAATGTTATGCCAGAACTGCATACACATATTATATGTCATGGTAAAAACAAAGTACACCCAAACCCAAGGTTTTAGAATGTAATAAAATAATAATAATCATAATCGAGCCCTTAGCAGGTCTTAAAATTAGGTAAATACAACCTCAGATGAACAGTAATAAAAGACATAGTACAACATGTCACTATTTATTTAAAAAAAATAAGCAAAAATGCAAAAGCAGTAAGTGAAAAACAAAGTACAGCCTTACTGATTCCATGGGAATTAAGAGGGTAAGTAGCAGCTAGGTGCTGCAAATCAAATGCAATTGATGAATTGATTGGCAGCAAGTGTGAGGACCTCTATAAAAACAGCAATTTGGGTGGTAATGAATCTTAAAGAAGCACTTATTGCTGCATCAATCTGGGAAGGGTTATGAGGCCATTCCTAATTTGATGTTCATCATTCTACAGTATATAGAGTATGAAATATTCAAGAGAGCTGCTGTTTCCAGGAGTGGGTGTCCTATCACATTCATCCCAAGGTCAGACCATGCAGTGGTCAGCAAAAAAAAAAACCCAGAGGGATAAATTTCATACTTTACTGGCCTCAGTTGGCATGCTAAATGTTAAAGTTCATGACAGTTCAATTAGAAAAAGACTTAACGAATATGTTTTATTTGGAAGAGCTGCCAGTAGAAAGCCTCTTTCTATCTAAAATAAATAAATAAATAAATATGGGAGCAGAGCTTAGGTTTGCAATATTGCATGTGAAGAAGACTTCTTAAAAAATGTCTTTTGGACAAAGAAGACCAAAGTAGAGATGCTTGGCCATAATGCACAGTGCCATGTTTGATGAAAACGAAACAACATATTAGCACAAATACCTCATGTAAGGCAAGGTGGTGGAGGGGTGATGATTTGGGCTTCTTTTGCAGCCACAGGATCTGGCCACCTTGCAGTCACTGAGTTGACCATAAACTCCTGAAATGTAAGAGTCAGATGTGAGGCCATCTGTCCAAAAGCTAAAGCTTGGCTGAAATTGGGTCAAGCAGGACAATGATCCCAAGCACAGCAGAAAACCCACGGAATGACTTTAAAAAGAAAATAATTAAGGCCCAGTCAAAGTCCAGACCTCAGCTGACTGAAGTGTATCTTCAGAGAGCTGTGCATAAACAAATGCCCACAAGCTTCATTGAACTGAAGCAAAATTGTAAAGAAAAATGGTCCAAAATTCATTCAGCAACAATGTGAAAGGCTGATAAAGTCAAGCAGAAAATGATTACTTCAAGTTCTTGCTGCTAAAGGTGGTATTTACCTCATTTTAAAACCTGGCAATACCTGATAACTTTTTATTATGTCCTTATATGTAAAACCGTAGAAATGACAGAGAGTTTAACTACATAGACAATGCTGCAGACCATGTCCACCCCATTACTAAAGCAATATTTCCTGATGGCAGTTGCTTGGAAATGGTGTAGCATCACAAAGATCTGAACTGTTTTTACTTGGCCTCTAGATTATCATTCCAATTACACATCAGTGGTATTTGTTAAAAAAGTCTCATCTATACAGGCCCTGCATCACAGTTTGTAGAACTTAATGCATCTGATGCTAAAGTCCTTGTGTCTGATAGGAGAGGACACTTTCCAAGAGGTCTTATGGAGTCTGTGCACCAGAAAAGAGCTTCTTTATTAGCAGCAAAAAGGGGATCTGCAGTTTTAGGCAGGTGGATTTACAGTTACATGGCTAATATTAGTATAGCGTTTAATGCAGATTTTCCCTTGCGTTTGCTAGTGACATTTTTCTTCTACAAAGAATTGATTTCTTTTCTTTTTTCTTTTTTTTATCTGATGAGTTTCTGGTCATTATGGAGTAATGAATGTCTTGTTACTAAAAGCTGTCCCTAGAACAGGTCTAATCAGAGTAATCACTGAGAAATGTCATTAGCATAGAGTGTCCTCTTTTATTAGTATTTGTTTTTGTGGCACTGTGTCTGCCACTTTCAGATCTGCTCTTGTGTTATTGAGGTCGCATCCTGCCAGCTCTGTAGCACTACCATACAGGTCTAAATCGGCACACTGCCTCACAGGGCAGCATGGCCTAATTTTGAAGTAAATGTGTGTATGTGTGGGCACAGGCGCATGGAGTAGGCGTCCCTCCAACAGTTGGCCTGACATAACATGACCAGCTGCTCTTTACAAGAGCTGCATTTCTTCATGTTTGGAGAAAAGGGACATGATAGCGGATTGCACATTATGTAACCTCTTACATTAGGATCTCTTTTTCACCAAAGCTATTCGAGTAGGGATAAGGAAGTAATGGCCCTGATGTTGCTCACAATTAGTCTGAAAGCCTGACGTGGTTACATCACAGTGTCCCATCATAACAACCTTCAGCTAGGCCGTTATTAATGAATCTGTCATATATGTCACTGCTGCTTGCTAGTGCCAACCGGTGACTGCTTGTGAAAGTGAAGTTTATTCTCGTCAGGCTGCTGTTAATAATGCAAGTTGTATAATCCGTTACTCTTTTTTTCCTTCTGTGCAGCTCAGAGAATTGCATGGTATTGCGTAGGGCTTCGCAGAAATGCAGTTAGTTGGTATTCAGGCTTTTTGTACTGAAGTTCTCTTTCAGCTCCAGTTACACAGTGTATCTCCCCTCGCTTTATACTTGGATTAAAAACCCACTAAGCTATCATTATGTTCTGCACCAGAAGCCCAAAGCCAATTTATTGTTTTTGAGCCATTTTCATTTTCTGGGTTTTGTGCGGGCTATTGTTTTAATAATACTGTATGAATTTAAGAAAAAAAATGCTGAAAGATAATGGAGATGAAATATGATGATCTTCCCCATTTCAACTGGATTTTCTGGCTCAGGGTTTTCATAAATTCACCCTTTTAGCAAGGCCAAATAATATGGCCATCCTAATCTGTCACAACCCTGTTCCAAGAAAAGTCGGCATGCTGTGTAAAATGTAAACAAGAGCACAGTGCAATGACTTTCAAATAATCTATTTTACAATGGTTCTAATATAACATTTTTTTAAAATATATATTCAAGGAGACAATTTTTACTGTTTTAAGGTCTGTCTTGCTTGTTAGGGATTTCAATTTTCAGTGTCATATTTTTTTTCCCCATTTCATAACCTGCCAGCTGTTTTCAGTGTGTGATAGGTCTAAACAGCAGGTAAGCTGGCCAGTTTAGCACATGGACTCTTTAGCTACTGAGCTGTGCTTTTGTAATACGTGTATATGTTGTGATATGGCATTGTCTTGCTAAAATAAGATAAGCCTTCCCTCAAAAAGATGTCAGTATTTGGCAGCACATATTTCTCCAAATTGGAGTTGGCTTTTGAATTGCATGGTGAGGTTGACAAAGTATTTCTTATTTTAATTGGTCAGACAACAGGGCAGTTTTTCACTTTACCATACTTCCCATTAAATGAACGTTTTGTCTTTTACATGGTAGAAATGACATTCTTGAAGTGCTGTTTGCAGTGATGAACCATGCTTCCTAACAGTGGTTTTAGAAATGCTGCTGAGCATTATTTATCTGTTTTTGTTTTTTGTTTTTTATATATTTTTTTGAAATATTAATATTTTTATTTCATTAATATTAAATTTTTTGCAGTCCTATCTCAGGGGCTAAAGGTGCTGTAAAAGCCATTCAGTCTTAATCTTTGGCCTTGTACCTTGTGCAGAGAGATTTCTCTCTATTCCGTAAGTCTTTTAATGATATGCCCTGTTGATTTTTTTTTTTTATATTTGTATTGAGAAGTGACTTTAACTTGTTGAACTTATTAGCTATTGGTAGTCTTTCACAGAATAGTGACGCCATCCTCATGTTTATGTCTGAAAGTAGTGTGTTCCCAAATTTCTTTTAGGCATTACACAACAACCCAATGTTTGTGATACGCACATAAAATATCATCTTTTTGTTATTTGTTTAGCATTCGTTTTTTGTTGGAAATTGTTCAGTCTATTAATATTCATGCTTGGCTCAGAACCATCATAACTTATCTCCCTTTCGCTCCTCTAGCTCTGCTCTGCACGGCGGTGGTCAGTGTGCCCCCTTAGAAAGAAGAGAAGTGCCATCTGTGATCATCGACTACGAGGACGATAAGGAGAACCTGCCTAATGAATCTGACTATGAAGATCTACCCAGCATGTATAAGGATGAGGATGATGATGTGGATGACGATGAAGACGATGATGAAGATGACGACTCAATATTTACAAGTAAGTGGCAGCTGTCATGGTAACACAGAGTAGTGAAATTGCACTACTGCACTATGCTCATCAGCAGATGCCTGATCTGTCCCTTAAGCTATTACTGTCTGACTTTTGAGGATGTTATTTTGATTTAGTTTATCAAGTACGGTTGGTTATTTATTTATTTATTTTTTTTAAACTATGCACCCAAAACATTTAAAAATCCCTGTTTTTTTTATTTTTATTTTTTTTATTTAACTATAAAATGTGATCTGTTTTATACTTGGCAGGTATAAAGCTGGGGATCTAGTTTGATTATGTAGCTCACTTTAGGCTTCTTTTTGTGATAATTAACTGTGACGCACACATACACACTGGGGCATGCCTCGTTTAGTTAGTGTGTGTTATATGAAATACCAAAAATAACAGTAAATGTTAAGCTAAGGATTAATGTCAGTTGAGATAACTATAACATACCTGTGCTACAGTATTGCTTGGTCTGTGTTTTTTAGTTGTTGTCAGATGGTTGTTAGGCAACATGATATCATAATATGTCATGTATAATTAAACTTTTCTAGACATATAAATTAAATCATACTATGGTTTTATGTAGCATTGTTCATGCATAAACATAGGACCAATTCTGTGCAGTTATTGAAGCTAACTGCTGTTGGTGGTGTGCATGAGCTGCATATTTTGTTAACACACCCCATTCTTTCTGTGAATTGCTCACTCGAGCTGCAGTGTGACCTCTCCAAACATGTGCATTTTGTTCTGCACTAGTTGTAAGTCAAATTAAAGTCACAGGTAGGGCATTTGAGAAACAGGGTGCCTTAGCAGCAGAAGTGTCTTTCTCTGTTCGCATATCACTCCAGTCTTGGCCTCCCTTCACTGGTTGCCTGTAAATTTTAGGTTTCAGTTTAAAATTTTAGTTCTAACCTTTAGGGCCCTGCATGGTCAGGCTCCTCAAGATTTATCTGACCTGCTGAAACCACATACATCTTCTCGGGCTTTAAGGTCATTAGATCAGAGACTGCTGGTGGTACCACGCACTCGTTTTAAAACTCGTGGTGATCGGGCCTTTCAGACTGTGGCACCACGGTTGTGGAATTCTCTCCCACTGTCTCTTCGCTGCACGGACTCCATTGATTCTTTTAAGAAACAGCTGAAGACATTTTTATTTAGAAAAGCATTTGATTAATTTCTTCTTATGCTGTTTTTATAGTTTTATTGTTTTACATTGTTTTATTTACTGTTATATTGTTTTTATATTCCCATTTTCTGTGTTGTAAAGCACTTTGTGATTTTTATCTGTGAAAAGCGCTATATAAATAAATTTTACTTACTTACTTCTACTTACTGTTTTTGTTTGGACAGCTCATGTTTGCAGACATAGAGACTGTTTGTTTGACTGATCATAATTGTCAGGGCTCCTTATTTCACATGAAGGCTCTTGGAACTCAGATTTAAACTAACCTTCAAAGTAGGGCCGAAAGATTCACAGAAATGTATCTAGAATTTAATTATCAGCCAAAACTTTGATGCATATTCTCTTGGAAAAACTGCTGAACTGTGCAGAATGCATGGAAGGAACATAATGTTAGAGAGCTATTGTTTTAAATCCATGGTATAAAATATTTAAAACTCTGTTTTCTGGAAGATCCAGAAAACAGAGGCCAAATAGCAAAGATCAGTACATTAAACCCCATTTTCGTATACTTATTTTTACCATACCAATACCTATTAACCATAACTATTTTAACATTTTGCATTTCAAATTTAGGTACACTGGCTCAGAAGGTACTAAGAAAAGACTCTTTGGCCATCAAGCTGAGTAACCGTCCATCTAAGAGGGAACTGGAGGAGAAAAACATCCTGCCCATGCAGACAGATGAGGAGAGACTGGAATCTAGGCAGCAGATAGGCACCAAACTCACAAGGTGAGAATCATACGCACATGCTTTTCTTCTTAGCCTGAATACAATTACAATACAGCCACAATTTCTGGGACAGATATTTCCAGCGGGCCTGGCTGATGTTGCTGTAGCCAGCCTGATAACAGCTGTTGGGCAACAGCACTGGCTTTTCTCAGCCATTGCAAGCATTTGTTTTACTTTGGGCTGACAATTCCTAATGTCCTGGCTTAACAGTATTGTGACTCAGTCCAAAGCCCATGTGAGTCTTATTTTTATTCAGTCTTTTCTATCCTTTCAGTTTTTTCCTTCCCAATATCCGATAAGGATAAACGCTTTATTTCGTTAAAACGAGTCTCTGAAAATGGAGCTGACCTAATTTCAGTGATGCATCAAACTCCCCCCTCCTCCTTTTTTTCCCTGCTCTTGTCTTCTCTCTCTCGAGTGCTCTCTCTCTCTCCATTTCTCTCTCTAACCCTGTCTCTCTCTCACTTTCTTCCTCTCCTGCCTGACTCCCTGCCTCGCTCACTGAATCACCACAGTGATGCATGTGCCAAACTATCTCCACCCGACTCCTCCACACAGCAGCACCGCGCAAGCCGCTTCATATCAGCAGTTTACACACACTGCAGTGATGCCGTGTGTGCAAGTCGTAGGAATGTATATACATATGTTGAGGTCATGAATGTGAATTCTAGTAACTGAGCAGATCAAACAACGCAATGTTTGGTCTCATTTGATTTCACTGGGCTTTATGAACATGCGCGACTAAATAAAGCGGATGTAATGATGTGGTAAGGGGGCAAAGAAACCACCAGCTACTTGGTAAAAATGAAAATCTGAATAGTGCAATTCGATATGAGATGCGGCACTGACGGAGTATTACCTAGAGACACTGGCACTACTCCTCACTGTGACGGCAGCACAGTACATGTTCTCAGACATACTGTCTGCTTAGTTCTCATGTTCCAGCTCTGTAGCAGCGTCTTTTATACAGTATCACCTAACAAACACTTTCCCATTTCACTCTTTATTACCAGCGGCATTGTGTCCTTTAAAGTAGTTGCTTGTGCCAGGCCAGTTAGAATTGATTATGATAATGCTGATCTAGGACACGCTGACCTCAGCTTAGTTCTGCTGACCTGATTCACTGGGAAAAGTATGGAAAGTAAAATGAAGTGCTTTTACCCTTCATAAAGTTAATAAACGCACGGTTTTATGCTGTTTTTTTTTTCTTTCTCCGCTGGATTTAATGACTGTATTCATATTTTCATGTAACATGTATTTTATTATTTTATTCCTTTTTAAATTTTCCTTTTTTCCTTGGGCAGATTTCTTAGGCGTTCTTATATCTTATTTGTGTGTATTGAATTTCTGGATGTAATTACAATGATGCTTGTCCTTCTAAATGCTGCTAAATAATTGGTTGGTATAAGTCAGCAGCAGCTCAGAGAGAAAGAAACTAAATCAATGATTAAGTGATTTCTCACTTCCACGCATCATTGATATCTGGAAGGGTTACAAATTTTACTTGTTCAGAAGGAATTTGTATTGTCTGCAATACTTGCACCAGGTTCAGAAACAAGCACTTTTTAAAATATTAATAAGGCTGAAAATGTTTAAAAATACTTTTTCGGGATTGTCTGAAACTGACAACTTTTACTATTCTAGCCATGTATCAAAACATTCAGCTGTAAAGAATAAAGAGCTTAAAGCAAAGACTTGGGTTTAATTTGAGTGGTTAAATAAAAATATAGCACTAACTATATATTTTAATGTCACTCATCTCCATCCACTCCACCATGCCTGCAAACTCTTCTTCACCTCTCTTATGCACCTCACTATCTGCATTTTCTTTACATGGTTGACCCCAGGTATTTAAACTCATCTACCTTCACCATCTCTATTCTTTGCATCACTTAAACTGGTAAAAGGTTCAAAAGTAAATGGAGCTTACTACATAATCTTCAATCCATGCTGAGATATCCAAAAGCCCAGTCTGGGATTTAGTGCCTGGACCTTTCTTTGCACAGAACTATGTCTGGCTACAGGCTCTTATTTTGATGAGCAGTAACAGGTCAGATCTAAAGAAACTGAGTCAATCATTGATCCAGTGCTCAAAGACAGATCTACCACCACTTGTTTTGGATAGATTGCTATTGTAAGAGTCTCCAGCTGAAAGTATTTTGAGTGACTGACTTTGTGCATCTTAGTACTTCCAGCCACTTAATAAGCATACTAGAGATAACCTGTACACAGCACATCTACTCTGATGTTGTATAAAATAAAATAAAAAGCATATCTGGCTATTCTGTTTTTTGCTGTGTAGGTGCTGTATGCAGTAAATTTGTAATGACCTTTTTACTCAGCAGCTGAAGGTGTCACAGTCATATTTTCCTGATACAGCATCAGATAAGAGTTTGGTGGTTTGGGGTATCAGGCTTTGCTTTTAGCCTTATTCCTGCATCCCATCACTGCTTTATCATTGAGTCATTGTGGGGATTGGTGATCATGAATGAGTGACGTTTTTGGATTTTCACCTGTCAAGCTGTCATGAGGCAAGAGCTTAAATAAGATAAAAGCCTTTCAACTAAAACAATATACAACTCTGTTGCTCATAAATAACTTCTACAGGACACAAGGAAGAATGAGAATTGAGGTCATTTGTATTCAGTTCAGTTTGAGAATGCATTTTACTCTAAACTTACTCTACGCGACTTATTCCCAGCACTATATAAAAGTGCTCGTTCTGTGAGCCAACGTGTCAATAAGATAAACTTGTCGGGAGTCGATGTCAAAGCTGGGAAGTGAATGCTCTGCAGAATGTAGGGGAGAAAAAAAAAGAGCTTAGCAGCTTTTTCCTGAACTATACTGTTTTGGAACACTTCTTGTCCTTTCAAAATACCCTGAATTTTCATGTGTGACGTGACTGCATCACATCAGTTCTGCAAATTTGGCAGCTGCACATTCACATTGCGGATCTCCCCTTATAAAACATCCCAAAGGTGTTGTGGATTCGGATCTGGTGACTAATGAGGTTATTGAGGTGACTGTACTCACTGCCACGCTGATGTGCCCAGTTAGTGGTGACTTTAGCTTTGTAACAAGGTGCATCATCAAGCTGGAAGTAGCCATCAGTAATTTGTAGGAAGAAAAGATCAACTTGGTCAGCAATGATACTCATACACACAATGGCAGTCAAACAGTGAAAGTTAAAGGAATTTTTTAAATTTATTTTTTCCCTCAAACCTCCAATCCACAAAGTAAGGTTGGTCCATGGTTTGATGATGTGGATCAGAAATTCTGATTACATTTATTTCTTAACTGTCTTTGCATTTGTGCTTAAGTTTTTGTGAGCCTCTGCCCACTGCACCCTCAGATTTCTATTGCAGCCTGTTGGCCTCAAAGTTTGAAATTGCATTCTGAGGTGCTTTGCTGCTCTCAGCTGCACTTGCTGGGAGTGGATTTTCCATACCAGGCTATAGCTGTTCTGTGGCCTCTCATCACCAAGATGTTTCCCCTCTGTAGAACTGCTCCTCACTGGGTTTTTTCCCCCCCCCCATACGGTTCTGAACTCTAGAGACATTTGTGGCTGAAAATCCCAAGAGATCCACAAACCAGCTTGTCTGGCACTAACAAAGTCATGTTTTCAAAGTCATTCAGATGTTTGATGCGAACATTAATTGAACCCCGTGACTGTTAAAGTCCTCTTAATGAGAAAAACCTGTAAAATATTTGGATGTATTTTCTTTTTTTAAATGTGATAATCTCAAAACTGCTCCCATATTGGTTCAGACTTTCCTCGCTGACCTCCTTTCTCTGATTGTGTGCTGACTGTGGATTTCTGTTTCTCATCAGACGCTTGAGTCAGAGACCCACAGCTGAGGAGCTAGAGCAAAGGAACATCCTCAAACGTGAGTATCTTAAACGTGTGTATTTAACATTACATAGCTAAAAATGTGCAAAAAGGTCCCTCAAACGTTGCGTTTTAGCAACACATGGCCCACATTTGTAGCTGCCTTCTTGTGCATGCTGACTGCATGAAGGGCAGCGTGGAAATTTCTTTTCTTTTTTTTACATTTTTTTATTAATTTTTTTTAAATGATTATTATGAGACCCTGTTATGTGAGTGCTCGTGGACATGCATCTCTTTCTTTTGTTCCTCCTCGATCTGCCTTTTCGTGAAAGTCATGCAAGGTAGCAGGGTTCCCCGAGGAGTCATGTCCACAGAGACTGCTTTCTTAGCTCAAACACATGCAGTATCAGAGAGAAGCAGTTCTGTTTCCTGGGACTCTGCAGATCTCACATCAAAGACTGATTTACTATCAGTTCCTGCTTTCCCAGAGGCTCTTGGATGATTGGCAACAGTACAAGGGGGAAAAAGACAAAGTAACAATTTATGACTGACAAGTCATGTCCTCCCTGTCACTCACACACATACAAAACCAAGGTTAAACAAACGGGACTTTATTTTGTAATGAAGCAACATCTAAAATCCCAAACTGCAAGTAGTACTGGAAATGGAGTGTGTGTTTAGTACAAGCATAAATACAGACTGACTGGTGAAGCTTTTTGCAAACAGCAGTGTCCCAGTGTGCTTCTTGTTTACTCTTGTCTCTCGTTTTAACTTATCTTTTTGTTTTGTTTGTCATTGTGATTCCAGTGGAATCTGCAGGACAACACATACAGGAATTTAGTGAGGAATAAGAACTTGATGTAATCAGCAAAAGAGAACTATATACATTTGAAAAGCTCTGGGACAATGTGAAAGAAACAAAGCAATCAGTCACTCCTCATGCCTAACCTCTCCTAAAAGCATAAAACAGCCAATGATGGAAGCTTTTTAAGCTTTAAGGGACTTATCCAGTTAAGTGTGGAACAAATGAGGCATTTTAAGCAAGCGGCGCGCTTGTACTTATTTCACAAAGAGCCCCACTGTACGGATGCCTGTATTCAAAGGTTAACACTTCATCCTTTCATTCTTTGCAGCTCGCAATGAGCAGGAGGAAATGGAGGAGAAAAGGGAGATAAAACGAAGGCTCACGCGAAAGGTGAGTCCAAAATAGCTCCAAAAGTGTGAACCCACACTTGCTCTTTTGGCACTTGAAGGGGCAAGTTGTTGGCCAGGATAAACAAACACTATGACAGTGAGTCATCTGATGAAATGGAGTGTGTGTGTATGCGTGGGCCTGGTGTTGGTACTTCTCAGGTTCCCTCAGGAGACACTGATGCCCTTGTTGCCCTTGTCCCTTCAACATGTTGGATGCCAAACTCTTAGACCCCATAGGGAGGTGTTGAGCATGTTCCCATCCCTGTCAAATTAAAGAATAACACTTTCTGCTCACCTGCAGATATGCTTCTCAAAACAAAACCTCTCAGCTGTTGGACAAATACCAATGATGATATATACTTTAAAATATGCAAGTTTTTAAAAATGCAAGAATAGAGAGAAGGGGTTTTTTTTTTGTTTTTTGTTTTTTGAAGTTGTAATCAGAAACATGGCTGTAACTGAAAGCGATTTACTCCAAGGTGAACCAAGGTCAAAATAACCAACATAACCGAGCTATTTTTTCAAAAAGTAGTGCTACCCAATTCTCAAGAAATCAAGTAAAAGATATGTACTCTAACCATGACTCCTTAGAATATGTGAACGAGGAGGAAAAACTGTAAAATAAAATGTCATGTCATCCCTTTTGCTTCAGCGCTATTAAAGGGAATTAATCTAAATCTACTTCCGGCTGCTCCCTTACTCACAAGAAGCCGCCACAGTGGGTAGCTCCTCATGTTTGATTTGGCAGATTTTTACACCAGATGCCCTTTCTGACACAACCCCAAAGGGATTTGTGTCTCCTTCCAGGATCAAACTGTGGATCTTTCACTTGTTATGCAAATGTGTAAACCAAGTAATGGAAGAACGAGGCTTTTTAAACAGCAGGGTGTTGTAATACTTCATCACTTCATCAGGCAAGGACCTGAGTCTAGCCGTTCCGAAAGACACCTCATAAGTAAGGAAGGAGACGTTACCTCACAAAAAAATAGATCTACACTCAGGCGTAGAGCCACAGCACCCATTTTAAAGGTTATATATGAGATTCTACATGAGGCAGTGGGAGCTTTTCATTATGCTGTTATGGTTCCATGTTCCTGAAATATTCATGCATCACTATGTGTGTGCAGCATGTTATAAATAACTTACTTTGCTGAAGACTAACTACATAAAACCACAGATTTCCAATTTGACAGCTTTAGTATGTCTGCCCTTGCATCTTTCTTATTTTTTGCTGGGTGTACCTGAGAGGAGAGAGGTTAGAGTAATGAAAAGCACCCTGTGCAGCTGAAGATAGACGTGCAGGTACTCTAATCTAATCCATTGTTTGTTAAATTTTGCTTATTGCTTCTTAAACTAAAATAAAGTTCTATGGGTTTCCTTTATAACCTCACTTTCTTATGAGAATTATGATCAGTATCTGAGTAAAGTAATCGGTGTCAAGCAGAAACTGAAATGTTAATTTGAGACTTTTTCAACACAATAAAATATCAGGACTGGTTTCTTGACCTCCTCACTCTTCCTCCTGCATAAGAAAAAACAATGCAGGCTGAAGACTTTCTATGAGAAATGTAATATATGTTTTTAATTTTCCTCATTTCGCTCCAGCTGAGCCAGAGGCCCACTGTAGAGGAACTGAGACAGGCCAAAATCCTCATTCGATTCAGTGACTATGTGGAGGTGTCAGATGCCCAGGACTACGACCGGCGGGCAGATAAGCCCTGGACCCGGCTCACTGCAGCTGATAAGGTCAGTTTACTAATCTTACTGTTAAAATTAGATAATCTCTGATATTCTCAAGATTCCCCCTTCCCTAATTTGATTTGTCACTCTTAAGCTCTGCTTCTGTGCTTCTTATGACACGCTCATACAGGGAGTGCAGAATTATTAGGCAAATGAGTATTTTGTCCACATCATCCTCTTCATGCATGTTGTCTTACTCCAAGCTGTATAGGCTCGAAAGCCTACTACCAATTAAGCATATTAGGTGATGTGCATCTCTGTAATGAGAAGGGGTGTGGTCTAATGACATCAACACCCTATATCAGGTGTGCAACGTCCTTTCCTTTGGCAAAATGGGTCAAAAGAAGGACTTGACAGGCTCAGAAAAGTCAAAAATAGTGAGATATCTTGCAGAGGGATACAGCAGTCTCAAAATTGCAAAGCTTCTGAAGTGTGATCATCGAACAATCAAGCGTTTCATTCAAAATAGTCAATAGGGTCGCAAGAAGCGTGTGGAAAAACCAAGGTGCAAAATAACTGCCCATGAACAGAGAAAAGTCAAGCGTGCAGCTGCCAAGATGCCACTTGCCACCAGTTTGGCCATATTTCAGAGCTGCAACATCACTGGAGTGCCCAAAAGCACAAGGTGTGCAATACTCAGAGACATGGACAAGGTAAGAAAGGCTGAAAGACGACCACCACTGAACAAGACACACAAGCTGAAACGTCAAGACTGGGCCAAGAAATATCCCAAGACTGATTTTTCTAAGGTTTTATGGACTGATGAAATGAGAGTGAGTCTTGATGGGCCAGATGGATGGGCCCGTGGCTGGATTGGTAAAGGGCAGAGAGCTCCAGTCCGACTCAGACGCCAGCAAGGTGGAGGTGGAGTACTGGTTTGGGCTGGTATCATCAAAGATGAGCTTGTGGGGCCTTTTCGGGTTGAGGATGGAGTCAAGCTCAACTCCCAGTCCTACTGCCAGTTTCTGGAAGACACCTTCTTCAAGCAGTGGTACAGGAAGAAGTCTGCATCCTTCAAGAAAAACATGATTTTCATGCAGGACAATGCTCCATCACACGTGTCCAAGTACTCCACAGCGTGGCTGGCAAGAAAGGGTATAAAAGAAGAAAAACTAATGACATGGCCTCCTTGTTCACCTGATCTGAACCCCATTGAGAACCTGTGGTCCATCATCAAATGTGAGATATGCACAGTAATAGTCACCTGCACACACAGATATCCCCCTAAAATAGCTAAAACTAAAAACAAACTAAAAACTGCTTCCAAAAACATTCAGCTTTGATATTAATGAGTTTTTTGGGTTCATTGGGATCATGGTTGTTGTTCAATAATAAAATTATTCTTCAAAAATACAACTTGCCTAATAATTCTGCACTCCCTGTAGTAGCAGAAGGGTGTGTTCCTCCTCTTTCATAATGAAAAGTCCAACTCTGTTGTTTGGTTTGCCTTTGTGAAACACCCTGAAGCAACCCTGCTGCTCACTGTCCCGTGATCTAAGACTTTTAATGAGCTGTAGAGTTTGCTGAGCAGATATTCTGCATTGTCCTAAACACTACGGGCACACCTGAGGTCCACTCATGTGAAATGTGAGAAATCATAAGGATTCAGCATTTTGGTTATGCAACATCTCCACTTACATAAGAGTGTAATTGGACAAGCAGTGCCTCAAGAAGCCCCCCAACGCTGCTGTGCTGAAGTTTTATTTTGTTGGGGTTTTTTTTGGTTTGCTACTTCTGCCGTCGAACACAGAATTTTGTTTGGTCTCCTGCTGTGGACGCATCCTCCCTGAGGCAGAAGACATCCCCTTGCGTCACGTTGAATAGTAGAAGCAATCACCTGACCGGGGTTCTGTTACATGCTGTGACATTGTAGAGGGGATGTAAGGTCATTAAAAAAGATTGTATCGTACCATTTTTATATACAGAAGCCATGATTCACTACCCGCTGGTTTGGACTCAAAAGCTTGCTTTGGTGAGGCCCAATTGGTGAAATTACACCACAGTGCCCCCTGCTGATGCATTCAGATCACTGCAGGGTTTTTTTCCCACTCTGAAATCTGCTTTATTTGGAGCTTTGGATCCAAAGACTGTAAAAAAGTAGATATCGCTTTGATGTTCTAAAAATACAGCTGTCATGGTCAAATCTAAAAATTCCATTTAACTGTATTCTCTTTATCTGTCCTGTATAAATCAATGCTATCAAAACTTAATGCTATTTAAAGAGGAATCTATCCAAGTAAATCATCAACAGATTGTAAATTATGTTAGGGCTGTTAGAAGTCTCAAGAGGGGGAAACTGAAGGTTCCTGTGATGAGAGAAAAGAATTCAGAAGACTCATTCATGGCTTTGAGATGAGCATAAATAATGCATGAAGCATACTAAAAGGAGTCGGGGCTTAAAGGCTGCCGTTTGTGAGCTAAGCCTTTGCAGCTTCGCTCAGTCTTCTTCCTCTTTGTCCTCTGCAGGCAGCTATAAGGAAGGAACTCAACGATTTCAAGAGCAACGAGATGGAAGTGCACGAATCAAGTCGCCATTTAACCAGGTACAAACTACCAGCTTGCATGATTGATATCACTTCAAATGCAGCCAAAAATATTGGCACGCACGTGCCGACTTCTTCTTGAAACTTCAAAACCTCTCTTTTTTTTTTTTTAAATATATCTTTCTAGGTTTCACAGACCATAGTAGACCACCACTGTCTCGAGCAGTGCCCAACCGGCGCTCTCCTCCACTGAGAACCTTAAGTGCTGGACAGTAAAATGGTGCCCGTTTCTACAATAAGGCCATGTCTTCTGAAATGCCTTTTCAAGTCCCACACAACTGAGTCGGTACTACGCCACAAGACGCAGACACCCACTACTCCATCCATGTAGTAGCACACAAAGACTCCAGCCGATTCACATTGCCCCCGCCCTGTGTGGAATTTGCTCGACTATCTCTAAAACCTCTCTGCTGAGCTCTCAGGCAGGCACTCAGTTCTGTGGCGATTGGATAGCAGACCAGTTTTCTCGTTTGCGATTGATTGGCACACTTGTGTCATCTACCGAGGGTAACTGTACCTTGGTATGTCAATAACACCAGTAGACTTGTCTCAGTGGACATGTTTTTATTCCTCTTCTTTATTACGCTGTCACACCAGACTCCTCTAGCCCTTACGGACAGCTTTTGTGCCAGGATGCAGGGTTGATTGTTCTGAGCTCACTATGTCATCAGAAGCTCCATCATTACTACACCTGCTGGGACTTTGGAAACAGCTTAGAGAAACAGGAGGAAGGGCGGGAGGGAAGGAGGCGTCCAACATTAAAATCATGTGCAATACTTTTTTTTTTTTTTCCTTCTGCTTTTCTTAGACTATAGCACCCCCTGGAGTGTCCTCTATGTCGTTACTATGTAGTCCTGACTTCTTTCATGCACTTCTCACTGTACCGAAAATGCTGACATTTAATTGCTAACTGTGAATTTAAGAGTTGGGGCTAACGCCTGTACTGTCTCTCTCTTTAATGTATATTTTGTTTATACTGAAGAAGGTCGAATTTAAAGAAGAATCGCGTTTAACTGCATTTTATTCATGTGGGTCTTATAAATTTACTGTCAAAATTTGCAGCTGGTGGATATTTTCTGGTTTCCAGTGTGTGCAAGAATGACCTGTTTTGTATTATTTTGACAGTGTTAACTGTTTTTTTGTTTTTTTTTGTTTTTTCTAGAGGCGCTCGGCTCATAAACGATTAATTTACATCTTTACATGTCAGTGCTTTGATGTGTGTGATTTATATCAAGAGATGACTCACCACATGTCTCTTTTTCTTTTGCAGAAGTGTGTGAAATGATCTTTGCTCATAACGTGCATTGTATTATACACTTTACTTTTATACTTGTGTCACCCAAGCTTTTGACGAAGCAATACCCAGTGTTTATAGAGAAAAGGTTAAACTGCAGGTGTACCCCCCCACACACACATCATTGTTTTTTACTGTGCGTACATACTATGCCTACACTTCAGGGTTTAAAGTTTTCTTTTATACCTTACTTTAAAAAAACAAAAAGAGAAAAAAAAAAGGCTTTATTCTGGGGGACTTTTTCAGCAATTTTCTTGACTGAGCCACCTGAAAATCTGCCTCTTTGACAGCTTTACCGACACATTCGGACAAGATTTGATGGAACTCTCAACGAAAAAGGATGCATTCTCTATTTCAAAAGATTTGAGCACTGATTTTAGTGTATTCACTGAGTCAGGATTTTTAAATATTTTTATTCCTAAATATAGTTTGCACTGTTAAGAGTGTGGCTTTAAAGTGGCCGTTGTTTCAAGGTAAAGTCCAAATGTGTAAAGTATTGTTGGATTTCTGAGGTGTAACCAGTGTGTCTCTTCACTTCAGTGGTCTTTGTTACCTGATCAGCCACCCTTCACCAGTAGTCCAGTGCTCACGAGCTTTATGTGCACAGAATATTTTCATTATTTTCTACTGTATTGCTTTTAAAGTTGCAATATGAAATTGTCAGATGAAGAAACAGTGGAGTTGAACGGCTGCCGGTCGCCTTTTACAATAAATCTGTCTGCAAATTAACAGGGTTTCCCCTTATTTTTAAGGACAGCGATAGATGACATAATGAAATCAGGGAATTGATGACAAAAAAAAAGTTTTGCACTGCATGGTTTGTATGTGAATGGATAGGGGTTTGCTAGATTTCTGAAGAAGTTCAGATCAGAATCAATACACAAGTATTTTTCTTGTCCCTCCACCCCCTCCTTTTTTTTTTTAATATTAAAATGTCAATGGATCATCTAATTGCAAACACTTTAATATTTGTGGTATTTCGTGTTGGGAGCAGCTTCTGTATAATTCAGCCATCTCAACATGTTCTTTCATGTTTTTAAGTCCAGAGGTTCAGTACAAGCATAGTAGGAATAGGGAGGAATTTATATTAAAAATACACTCCAGTTCTCATTTTCAGCTCTTTAGTAACAACCTGAGCCAACGGGCTGAGCATGAGGTTTTTCCATTTTGCTGGAATCAAGGAACATGATGTCAGCAATAATCTGATTCCTTTTACATGTCTGTGGAGCAACTGAACAAAAACTGAATGCAGTCCTCTTTCCCCCCCATTTTTAATCTACAGAATACTATGTAAAGGATACATCATGCCAATTAAACTCCATTTCTGAATGCATTTACTTTGTATGCATTATTATTTTTGTACATATTTTAGGCTTGTTCTTTAACCTTGTAGTAATTACAGTCTGAGATCACTAAAACACACTCTTCTTTGGCTGTTACTAACTTAGTGTATATACAGTAAAAATTGTGCTTATGTTTTATTGATAGAAATGTTTACTAATAGTATTTACATTTCAGAGCCTTCTTCTTATGATCCAATAAACTTCCCTATTGAGACTAATTTACATTCTCAATTCAGGTGTAAAATATACCTCAGTTTAGAATATTACAAATCAGGTTTGGGCCATATGGTAATTCCTTATGAATACAGGGGAAGGGCCCTTTTTTTAAAGGAGGAAGAAATGAAATTGGAGAGCCATTTAAATGCAACATTAAAGGTTTTGTCTCACAAGTTAAATATACATCATCAAACCAGGGAACATTGTTAGTTAACTATAGCCTCCATTTCCTGTTCTTAGCTGACTGGAGTCACACCCAATGGGCTCTTCTGCTACTGTAGCTCATCTGCATCTAGGTTCAACATGTTCACATTCAGAGATGCTTTTCTGAATATGTTGGTTGCAACAATTGTTTGAGTTACTGCTGCCTTCCTGTTAGTGCAGACCAGCCTGGGTATTCTCCTCTGGCATCAACAAACCCTGGAGATGAGTGTGAGGGAATATCCTAGTAGGTAATCCAGTCATCTTGTTCTGCTTACCAAAATTCAGGGCCGTAGGGGGGCTGGTGCCTATCCCAGCTAACATGCACAGAGAGGCAGGTTACATCCTGGACAAGTCGCCAGTCTGTTACAAGGCAAACATATAGAGACAGACACAGTTTAGATAAACAATCTCTGAAATACTCAGATCAGCCCATCTGGCACCAACAACCATGCCTTGTTCAAAGCTGCTTAAATTACTTTCTTCCCCATCCTGACGCTCTGTTTGAACTTCAGCAGGTCATCTTGACCATATAAACATGCCTGAATGCACTGAATCACTGCCATGTGATTAGCTGATTAGATATTTGCCTTAAGGAATGGTTGATCCTAACAAAGTTGACAGTTTAAATAAACTATAATCCTTTAAGCACTGAGACTTCCGATATGTAGAAATACCATTTTCCATTTGAATATGTATGGTTATTCAAATGAATAACCACTCCTAAGCAGTAGACGTTAATAACATAATATTTTTAGTCTTTTTTTTTTGCAGGATCTTTAATTCCACACAGGTAAAACGTAGTTTTTTAAACCAAATTACATTGTGTGACTTTATACTGCCGTAATATATGCGGCAGAATGTGACAAAGTAGTCTGTCTGGTACAGTAAGGCTCGCTGTGGCCTCAACGCTCCACTAGATGGCGGAAAATACAACAGAATAAGTCGACGTACACTGAGCCTTGTGAAATGGCGTCCTGATGAGATGGTGCCGAAGTTATTTGCTTCGTCACCACTTATCTAAAACATTTAGACCTACAGCGAGGCTTAGTTTAACCTTGTAGCATAACAAAAACTTTCTCTTTTATTTTTAAGATAAATGACCGCCGTGTAAGCTAGCCAATGTGCAAGGAATCCTCGATAACAGTTGAAAGTTTCCTCACATATTCAACAGTTGACATTGACAACTCACTGTGTGACTGCGTCTTACAGTTTTACTCGCTGTTAGCGTACAAGTAGCAAAGGGTGAGTTCGCCACAGTAAACACAGGACGTGCTCCTGTAACGCAACACCAAACATTTTATAGGCGCTATGTTTACGCCTCTCAACTGTTCGCCGCCTCACTTGACTGAAAGTGCAAAAAGGCTTGCTGGGAAATGTATTTTTTTAACAGTTTCGTCCCGGCAGCGGCGACTACAAGACGCTAGCTAGCGCAATACTCTTCCCACAATTCACCGCGTTGTTGTTAGCGACCCCCATCTTGTGTCCTCCTCATGAATATATATTAATCAGTATTTGCGTAGGAGGTCGGCCGACGTTCATTTCATATTCTAGCGCTGTGTTTTGGTCCAAATGGGACGCACAGTCACGTCTCCGCCCTGATCTGTCCCTGCTCGCCCAGCCTCTTTCTCAGCGAATTTAATCAGTAAGATGTTTTTTGGGAGCAGCGGAGGAGACTCCGACAGGGAAAGGAAGGCGAGGAGTGAATGACTACTAGTGGAATAACTCAGCTTCACCGCCCAGTTGGCGGACATTTAGCGCGGCGGGCACGTATTCGGGCTTTTAAATGTAGAGCTTTTAGGCATAACCAAGTGCGCACCGTTATTTATTTAGAGCGGGGGACTTTTCATTGGCAGGGATGGAAAGTGTACAGGCTGTCGCTGAGGATGGCGCGTCAGATGGAGGCGCGACCAAGTTAATGAAGAAGCCCAGCGGACTGTCTGTCGCCCAGGGGACTCCAGCGGATGATGGCGGTGGATGTTTGGCACCCTCCCGCGCTGAGGCAAAGAACGGGAATAGCCTTTCTCATTCCGCCTCTACAGCGGGGACTAGTGCGTCAAACCGAGCCGTGGCGTCTAATGGCCGGAGCTCATCCAGCAACTCCAGCTCGCTCCTGTTGCGACGGAGGCGCTTGAAGAGGAACCTCTCAGCTGCAGCTGCAGCCACCACTACCACCTCAGCTGTCACCGCCGCTTGCGGCGCGAAGATGAACTCGGCCCTGTCCTCTGCGTCTTTACATACTCGAAGTCTGGATAGGAAGACTCTGATGAAGCACCGACAGAACATGCAGCTGCAGTCCGCAGATCGCGAGTGGGTGAGAGCAGATCTCCACCGGGGCGCCATACACGTCCACGACAGACTGACGCCCTCGTATCCCAGGCCGGTGCTTTGCACTATGGACACCACAGCCGGCGAGGTGGCCCTCCGACTGAGTAAACTCTCCAGCAAGTCGAGCTCTGTAATGCGCATTTTTTGTAAAGACGCCTCCAAGACGGACCAAAATGGGAACTGTAACATGAATTATGAATATAATGATAATCAGGACAAGGTAAAAGAAGACTCGAGTATAAAATGCAGCCACCTGACCCCACTGGAAACCACAGATTTAAGAACCCGTCCAAATGACAGGTTGAGACTTCTCCTCATGGAGAACGCAGATGTCAGGCAAAAGCAACAGGACGTTGATGGAAAACTTTTCACCCCGGAGTCAGAAGACAACATAACCTGTTCGCTGTCAGACTTGAATTCTAACTCTAACATGGATACCCCCAATGACGATGATTCGGAGCACAGGAACGGTGTGGACAGTTATGGATTAAACTCTGGCTCAGATGTGGAAAGCAGTGCATTTGACGACCTGAGCTCCGGGGCCCGCCTCAGTGAACACAGGGACTCCCTGAGTGATGACATGATCCTGGGAACTGAGGCATCCATCCTCAGTCCCTCCTTTGATAGTGCCACAGAGGGCCATGACATGTACGGGAGCTCGTCAGACGAACTGGAACTCGACTGTCCAGCATCGAGCTCAAGCATGGACCCCATCTCCCAGCATCATACTAATGGCATCACTGCTGTCACTGCCAACTACAAGCAGTGCAACGTGGGACATTTAAGCGACGTGACAAGCGACGTGGGGCCAGATAGCAGACTCAGCCCACACAGTCTGGGCAGCCTCCCACCCAGCAGTAGTTCCGGCTCATTGTCAAGAGCTGGTTCTACAGGTAACACACCTGACATCCAAGATCCGGACTGTGGCCAGGGGGCCGTAAAAACAGGGCTCACAGCACACCAGAATGGAGATTCTTATAATTCCAGCCCCACACTCTATGTTCAGCTGCATGGTGAAGCTGTTAGGAGGCTTAGCCCAGATGAGAGGCCTCTGCAGATCCAGAATGACTTTCTCTTTAAGCTTGGATTTAAGAACCCGTGGAGAGTTCAGGAGGAGGGGCTTAACACAGAAATTGGCTCCTTGTTACGTTTTTATGCAGGTAAATGAAACTACGTGTCTGTGTATACATGTGTAATATGACTAATATCATTATAATATCATCCTATTGCGATCCATGTGTGTTTTGCTCATTCTGACAGTTACTGAGGCCTTTATATGAAGCCTTTGTTGTTTGGAGTGGAGATCCGTAATGTTGTAGTGCTTGGAACAGGTTGTTAACCTGTGAAAGAATGAATCTGGTGGATTCAGGCATTTGTATGGTATGACACCATATCCTTTTTGCAGAGGCAGGATAATATTTTCACAGGATGAGCTTGTGCAGTATGAGTGCAGCACAAAACCTGATAACTGCGACAACAGTTTTAGAGGGTCATTATTAAAGGTCTGATAGACTAAGCCTTTTTCCCAGTGATGGGTTGCTATGTTCAGGTTATCCGTGTGCTTGCATTAATGGGTCAAAGTGAGGTCACGTTCCAGAAGGATGTTGATTTTACAGATCTACCTTGCATTACAGTCTTTGTTTTGTTTTTTTTGTTGCTTCTTCCGGCTTCAGCTATCTTTGTTGGCCTGTAGCAGCACACTTTGCTCCCATGGACACACATGCCATTGGCTACAAAGCCATCACCACAACTTATGGTGCTCAGACATGGGGGCCCTTTCCGGCTTTTGCCCCATTATCATCCTAATGAAAAGCCTGAATTCCTTTTTGGTTGGATGGAGAATAGGGGTGGGAGCGGTATGGCTGGGAAGACCATAAACCCTCTCTGTGGACTCTGTGAATTCTGGTCATTGAGATGCTGCACACTGCCTGTCCTACTGGCATCCAGCACAGCTACTGTCACACTAACTAACTGCTTGCCAAGCTGGGTTAACGTGCTTCTCCAAAGCTCAGGAAGCCCTTTTCTTCACCATGCCACTGCCTCCACCACCGCTGCTATTGCTGTTTGCTGCTGTGGGAAGTCGAGTGTGTGGGTGGTGGTTGAGGGGTGATAATGTGAGCTGAATCAGGACAGTTGAGGAAACTGGTCTGAAGTGTGCAAACTGTAATGCTCTGTAGCTTCCTGTCCCTGGAGGCTGCTGAAACAGAAGTTATTTAATAAGAAGCTGAAAACGGCCATAGAACCA